ATGACAGGTTCATTGAAACCCTTTTTCTATATCCAGTTTTTCATACATAAGTAAATGCAAAGAGAAACTGCAAGGGATTTGAGAATATTTTGATAGGTCAAATGAAATCATGATTTATTGCACTCTAATTGCTTGCACCAGTATGCCTCTTTTACACCGAAGAGCAATTAAATAATCATGGACCCCGCAGATCAAAGTAGAAAGTGGCTCTAACTAGTAAAATTAATTATCTTAGCATCAGATCCAGGCCAGTAGATAAGAAATGCAACCAGCTGGAAAATGTTACCTGTCCTTCACAGTTTTCACATGCAACGCTAAGGTAATAGTCAATACATTTTAGAATATTTTCAAAATGAGACTTCACTGACCTCAAAAATTCATACAGAGAGAAGATGACAGACTTATCAGCCAAAGAATTCGGGCAATTCTGTGCAGGCAAAGGAAGTCTATTTTCCTAATTTTAAGGTACTATTTTGCCCTCAGGTGAAATTTTGCATTTTGGTCATTCTAGCTGGGAGAAAAAAAAAAAAAAAAGGTACCAGAAATAAGTGATACCCAAAACAGCAGAATAACTAGTTCCACAAGACAAAGCATTTGTGGGACTCTGTGAAGGTGGTTTAACTCACAGCAGAGATTTATGTTTGGAAATATCAGTGGCAGAAGCTTCACACCTTCTCTTGGCCTCCCAGAGAGCTTGTGCCCTAGGGCCCCGACACCCACACAGAGGGCAGGGAGGGCCTTGCAGCACTAAGAGCAAAGGGATATTTTCATGTATCTGCCTTCTTCACAGAACATTTAGCCCCCTTGTTATTGACTCCAGCCTGATGGCCTGCTGGGATAAGATCCCCCTTACCCTCAATCTCCCTTCCCTGTTCCTCCAAATTCCTTTCTGTTGCCAGCAGTTCCCTTTCCCACATGGCCCTTGCACCTGGCTTCTCCATACGTCCCTTTCCTAATGGCAACCCCTGGCAAATCCTGCATCCTTCCGAAGGTTCCCTCAGCCTTCCCATGCTTGGATATTTACAGTGGGAGTCATACTCCCCTGGCTCTAATCTGATCCTCATAAAACAGGAGTTTCATTTAATCACTGTCTGAGAGACCACAAACACATTTTATTAGACTTATCTACCCGCCCCGGCGCACTGAGGGCTCCTTGCAGCGCTGCTCAGAACGAGCTGCTGTTGGCAGCCCCGCAGAGCGCGGCTTTCTTTAGTTCTGCTGGAGGGATTGCTTACGCCTTGCAGGAAAACAAGAACAACCAAACAGCAAAGCAGAACGCACAGCTTACTGACAGCATCATTAAACAGGAACTGCGTGTTACACAGTGGGCACGAGAGCTGCTCACGGTGCTCAGTGGCCTGATGAGAAGTGAGAAGCTGGTGAAGGGTTTTCCTAAGTCCACCAGGTTAACTGCTGGAAACTGCTACTTCACGAATCTGGCATCTCTTGCCTATTCCCACTGCCCCCTCTATTCGCCCCTGGTAGTTCTGCCATCTGCCTTTCGGAGCCCCCTCTCGGCTCCTCATCCCCGGGCCTGCTCACGCTCCCGACGGACGCAAGCGCTGCGCTCTGCCCGGGCCCTCGCAGGTAGCGTAACACCGAGGCAGGGCAGCCGCCGGCTCGCCCCTCGTGCCCTGGAGCTGCGGGAGCGCCGCGGGAAGCTCCCCACGGACACCGCAGCCGGAACGACAGGAAGAAGAAAATGCACGAGGGTCTCATTCAGCAAGAAAAAACAAAACCAAACACGAAATTGAACTAAAGCAGATTGCTACAAAATCAGCTAGTGGTGACTCTGCATGTAGAAAAATACCCAGGGAAAAACATCTATTGAAAGCTTAGTACCAAGAAAAAAATCTGGGCCACCATTACCTTGGGAAAGCATGCTATTTTAGAACAACTTTGAACTCCGTCTGCCTCTAGAGTTGATCAGGAAACCGTTTTCATCCTCAGCTCCTCCCAAAACATTGCTCTTTCTATCTTTAGGAACATTAAGGCATGTTTAGCAACACATTTGTCAATGTATTTTCTGATATATGCCATTTTCACTCTCAGAAAAAGCCTGGGAAGACAACGCAGAGTGACTGTGGAGGCACACGGTTGCTAAAGTACAGCTCCAAACTAACACGCCTCCCCGCTTCTGCAGCATCTCAATTTATGTCTCAGGCTGAGGTCCCAAAGCACAGGCTGCGTGACAGCGTGCACAAATAAATATTCCTTTTAACAGTATCTGCCTTTGCAGGGTTGCAGAAAACACTGACTCCAGGGCTAGGAAAAGGAGTAACACTGCTCCTGAGCAGCGCTCTTCAGGGAGTGTGAAGCGACGGCGGCTTCCGCCGGGGCGGTTTTCCCGTCCTGCTACTTCCCCGGAGCGGCAGCGCTGCCCGGCGGGGCTACGCGCACCTGGCCCTCGCGTGCAGCAGGGCCGCAGCAGCGCTCTCGCGGCATGAGCACACACACCCATGCACACGCAACATCAAGTCAATTCTTTAAATCCTTTATCAAATTCCTGCATTTTAGGCACTTGAGAACTGCCGTATTAGCTCTATTGTAGCGCTGCTAACGTGAAGAGGAGCATATCCTTAAGAAAAGTTAAACAGTTTGGCCTCAACTTTTATTTTTTCCTGGCCACATGAATAGTGGGGTAACACAGTAGTGTTACCCAGCTATGTAACACATATTCAATGTGAGAAAAAGTTTAAATCACTTATAAAATTAGCTTCCTACCCGAAATACAGCTTTAACTTTATTCTCTACTTTCCACAGCTTACAAGATGGCCAGCAGAGAGCGTTGAGATTTTGTATGAAATGTTTCGTACCAGGAGCTGTTTTATTTCCACAATTTGCAAAATACCCATTCAGCTGTACAAAGATGCAGAAATGCAAGTTTAAAAAACTGTTTATCAGACACTAGCATTTTTCCTGCTTCGTAATTCAAAAAGGATCTCGGTAAAGAAAACTGAATTTGGCAATCCATTAACATAGATTTGATGCTCTCTCTGTTATCTCTTGATGTCTCACCCCTTTCAGAAAAATGAAAATAACTCACAGTAAGAGTGGCTGTTGCCCGTATTTATCCACTATATTGGCAATTATTAAGACCCTGGAAGAGCTACTGAGGCTCTGCTGACTCACGGTGGCAGAGTTGTCACTTGTTAGCTCCATGATGAAGGTGGGGGAAGGAAGGGCACAGGAGGCAATGCCAGAGAACAGCAAGGTCTTGGGGAAGGGCACACGGCATGGCTGTGTATCAACCAGCACTAGCTCTCAGGAGGAAGGATTTCCTGGGTGCTGGGTTTGCACCCAGCCTCATCCCACCTCGGTTAGAACCCGGCGGAGCCATTTCCAAGAGAGCTGAGCAGCCCCAGACGTGCCCCGCAGCGCGTGCAGGAAGAGCAGCAGCTCCAAGAGCCTGCCAGTGGGTGAGCTCCTTCTGGGCACACCAGCCCCGCGCCGCACGCGCAGGGCTCTGTGCCACGACAAGCTCTCCTGGAGAACGGCACATGCTGACAGATCAGCGGAGGAATTAACCCGCTCCACGGACCTGACCCACAGGGCAGAATTTTCACAGGATGCGACTTGACGCCACTAACTATTTTGGCTTAGGATGCGTGTCCATAGTTCTGCCTGGGACAACTGTACTCCTGATTTAGGCATTAGAGGGAGCTGCTTTAATGCTCGTGGGATCAACCTAAGCCTGAAGTCATTCACACAGTCTGAACATTAGGCAATGTTGGCATTTTAAAGTGTGGAAAATTCCAGGTTTCATATCATTTTAAGTTTTGCAGTGCTCACAGCAGCATGTAACAAGGGAAAAGTTAAAGCACGTTATTTGAAGGGGTAAGGATGCTGCCTCAGAGAGGAAAACAGGTTCCCAGAGCTGTCTGCTTACATTTGAGGGAGCGTAATCTGGAGTCTGCCTCTCTCGGGGCTCTAGCCTCTTTCTTGCAAGGCTCCGAGCCATGAGTTTACACTTCCCACCATCTGCTCCGATCACAGACTGCTTGGTGAAGGCTGCTAGGAGGGTGCGCTTGCTCTAATGCCATCTTACCTTTCCTCAAGGCAGATAAGAGCATGTGTCCTTCCTTCAAGGCACAGGGGAGAAGGGAAGAGGAACAGAAAGGTTCTTCATGCAATATATATGGGCTGTCCAGAGTCACACAATACTCACTGCACTTTCAGATAAAATCCTGTCTAGGTCACAAGTTGCAGTAAAAACTGTTCACCTGATTCAGGTACCACACCGAGCCTGTTCAGCCCCCATGCAGTAAGGGCCATGAAAGTCTGTGTCTTTAGGGTCAGCGTTGGGGAAGCAAGTGACCGCAAGCTGGGAAATAAATGAGTACAGTACTCTCCCTTCTAACCTCCTGGCACCGGGCCTTGCAGCAGAAAAGAGAAGAGTAAAAAGGCAAAATGTCAGCTAGAAAACATTTTTCATGTTGTAAAATACAGTGTCCCCACTGAAATGCTTGATTAGAGAGACACTGAGGGGCTAATACTTCACTAAAAGCAGCAGTGAGTTATTGCAGAAAGGTCGCGTGTGCACATGTGTAATGCGACGGGGATGGGGGGGAACAACTTCAGGACTGAAGATCTGTATCTGTGTCCTACAAATGCCACGTTAGTGTTTCATATAATAGTCTCAGGAGCACACACTGAGCTTTTAAGTACTCAAAACAGCCTTCACAAACAGCAAAAGCGACTAAGAGGATTTGGCTGTTTCGGCACATCTCTAGTTCACGCCAGAGCTGCCCATCCTGCCCCTATTAGTCACTCCGAACAATCACTCTTTTCCCAGCAGAGCTTACTCATTTGCAAGATAAAAGGCAGACATTTCTGCACATGCCCATAATATTCTTCACCACTGGGGGCAGCTTTACATAAGACTGCATTCACGGAGAGCAAAGCAACAGTCGGACGGCGCTTTCGGCACGCCAGTGCGCAGAGCGAGCCGCGCTCGGCGCCGCGCGGGCTCAGCCTCCCCGTGCTGCACGGCTGCTTCCCAGCTGGATCGGGCGCCGAGAGAGGAACTGCTGCCCTATGGAATACAGATGCCTGAATGCAGATAGCTAACGCTTGCGTGGAGGAATCTAACATGCTCTCCTGTAAAGAGAAATTTTAAAAGCCAGGTTCCTAACTAGAAAGATGCAAAAACGTAATATCCATGAAGATCCTATCACCTAGGAAGACTTTGACATTTTGCTGCGAATGCCGTGTTGGGATTGATTTATTTTTGGAATGTTCTGCATGGCTGGCAAAGAATAATGTTCCAAAATCGGTCCATCTCCCAAGGGGTCCAATTTTTCTTCCTGGGTGTCAGCGAGCCCTGACTCACTACAGTGCAGCTGACAGGGGCTGCCATGCTTGTGGCACACTAAGCAAAAAACAAAGACCTAAGGACGACCTTTGAACAACACAAAGGATGGGTATGTTTTTCATGTTCTTTTTTTTTTTTAAATATATAGTTCATAGCCACTGCATAGCCTCTGCTTTAATTACTCCATAGACTTACCTTGATGTGATTTGTGATTACAGTTAAATTGCTTAGGGATTACACCCTTTTCCCAACTGTTTTGCAATATTTATAAAGACATTCTTTAAAAAAAAAAATCTGAGTAAAAAAAATGTGAAAAGTAGTCAAGTCAAGCTAGGGATTTTAAATGACTGTTGCAATAAAGATTTTAGCATGATTTTAAAAAAATGACTGATGTGTGGGGGGATAACTTTTCTAAGTTGTTTTTATTTCCAGGTTTCAATGTAATTAGGCTACTGAGCGGATCAGCTGTAGCTCTGGTAATAGCCCCTACTGTATTACTGACAATGCTTGCTTCTGCTGAACGAGGATGCCCTAAGGGCTGTAGGTGTGAAGGCAAAATGGTATATTGTGAATCTCAGAAATTGCAGGAGATTCCCTCGAGTATATCTGCCGGTTGTTTAGGTTTGTCCCTTCGATATAACAGCCTCCAAAAACTAAAATACAATCAATTTAAAGGTCTTAATCAACTCACCTGGCTCTATTTAGACCATAACCACATCAGCAATATTGACGAAAATGCTTTCAATGGAATACGCAGACTAAAAGAGTTGATCTTGAGTTCCAACAGGATCTCCTATTTTCTTAATAATACCTTCAGACCTGTGACAAATCTCCGGAACTTGGATCTCTCATACAATCAGCTGCAGTCTCTGGGATCTGAGCAGTTCAGGGGCTTAAGGAAGCTGCTGAGTTTACATTTGCGATCCAATTCCCTAAGAAATATCCCTGTTCGAATATTTCAAGACTGCAGGAACCTTGAACTGTTGGACCTGGGTTATAATCGGATACGGAGTTTAGCAAGGAATGTCTTTGCAGGCATGATCAGACTGAAAGAGCTTCATCTGGAGCACAATCAATTTTCTAAGCTCAACCTGGCACTTTTTCCACGGCTAGTCAGCCTTCAAAACCTTTATTTACAGTGGAATAAAATCAGCGTGATAGGACAAACTATGTCCTGGACCTGGAGCTCATTACAAAGACTTGATTTATCTGGCAATGAAATCGAGGCTTTCAGCGGCCCCAGCGTTTTTCAGTGCGTGCCCAATTTACAGCGCCTCAACCTGGACTCAAACAAGCTCACATTTATTGGTCAGGAGATTTTGGATTCCTGGATATCCCTCAATGACATCAGCCTTGCCGGGAATATATGGGAATGCAGCAGAAACATTTGCTCCCTGGTAAACTGGCTTAAAAGTTTCAAAGGGCTGCGGGAAAATACAATCATTTGTGCCAGCCCCAAAGAGCTGCAAGGGGTCAACGTGGTCGACGCGGTGAAAAACTACAGCATCTGTGGCAAGAGCACCACAGAACGCTTCGAGCTAGCACGGGCTCTCCCCAAGCCAACGCTCAACCCCAAACCTGCCAGGCCTAAACACGACAGCAAGCCCCCCGAGCCGCCCACCGCTGGGGCCACCGAGGCGAGCGCGGAGGCCGAGCCCGACGCGGAGCACATCTCCTTCCACAAGATCATAGCGGGCAGCGTGGCCCTCTTCCTCTCCGTGCTCGTGATCCTGCTCGTCATCTACGTGTCCTGGAAGCGCTACCCAGCCAGCATGAAGCAGCTGCAGCAGCGCTCCCTCGTGCGCAGGCACAGGAAGAAGAAGAGGCAGTCGCTGAAGCAGATGACGCCGAGCACACAGGAGTTCTATGTAGATTACAAGCCCACCAACACGGAAACCAGCGAGATGCTGCTCAACGGAACGGGACCCTGCACGTACAACAAGTCAGGCTCCAGGGAATGCGAGGTATGAACCATTGTGATAAAAGAGCTTTTAAACGCTGCAAAATAGTGGTGCTTTACTGAACTCTAGGGACTAAAAAGGGAACATTTTTCTCACTTCTCTGGCACAGCTCTTCCATGTCACTTTTTTTGTACAATCATAATGCTGGTCATTTTACTCTCATACATAATCAACTCATTGAGATTTGAATACCGCAATCAATGTGAAGCCTGAGCTCTGCTTTAATACAATATCTATTGTACAAACCCTCTACTGATCATTAAAGTCTCACTTGTTTTTAAATAGAAAACTTCTTTCATAACTAACCCACTGCACCTGCAGTGAGTGTGCCTCTGTCTAGGGAGAAAAATGACAACAGAGCCAAAAAAAAAAAAAAGAAAAAGAGGGGGAAAAAAGGCAAAAAAAAGCAAAAAAAAGGCAAAAAAAAAAAAAATACCCTCTCTTTCAGCCCCCCAACCCCAAACCTTGCCCATGCCCCAAAAGCCACTTGTCTAAGCAAGAACAACTTCCCCATTCCAGAGGCAGCTGCTGTAGCACCACTCGAACCGTGGTGCAAGGTGCCCGCGCGCAGCGCTGGCGCGGAGCGGCCCTGGCAGCGCCGGGGGACGCAGGTGCCGGGCAGCCAACGCGCTGCCTGGCCAGAGCAGCCAGCGGCCCAGCGCTGAGCACACCCAGGCCAGGCCTGGCACAGAGAAATCGAGGCGCGATCAACAAGGAGGAAATACAAATTCTAGGATGGGGTTAACTCACTGCATTATAATACAGCTTCTAAGGCTGATAACTGCTTATTGAAACCTGTTTATGTGACTCTATACAAAAGGTGCCAGTGTTTATCCCTTATATCCAGTTGCCTTTCAGGAAGTAGTCAAAAGGCATTCATTAAATGAGGAGCAGAAATTCCTTATTGATGCAATTAGAGGAACTCAAATGGGCAGTAGCAAAAGCAAGGCCACTTCCTGCACACATTTGTTCAAATGCTCATTAGAAATTCTCTTTTTAAGACTGTCAAAGACATTAATGTAGCCAAGGAAACCATTAAATCTATCATTTTCTTCTATTTCTTTTTATTTGCTGGACTGGGCTTGTTAAGGTTTTGTGATGTATTTTTCACGCTGTCCTTCTAATAACTAAATGAAGCTTCATTACTTGCAAAGCCAAACAGCATACATTTTAGAAACAACCAAAAAAAAAAGCCACAACTGTAAATAGCTTTCAAGAAAAGCTGGTTACTCACTAGCGCAGGTAACCAGAACCCTTAGGGATATCAGTGACAAAACAGTCTTCCATTTTAGCATAATCTTGGTGACATTACAAGAATTCAGACATTCCTTTTTAATGGAAGTCCTCCATCAGGGCTTTCTGGGCAAAATACAGATTGGTAATCTGGCTACTCCCCAGCCTCCCTCTCCCAAAGTCATGCAATTTTAGTGATTGCAGAAGAATTTAACATCTCCCATATTTCCAAATAAATCATATCTCCTATATATTTTGATGGTCTATTGCATAGCAAGGTTATCTTTTCTCATTCTTGAGATAATACGGCAGCACCTTTGCAGAAGCAAGTCATTAAATTAATAATCTCTATTTTGTAACTTGATTTGTCTTAGCAAACTGCACGTCTTGAATCACTCAGGAGGGAAGGGTTCCACAAACCAGTTGCACTGCAGCAGATTCAGGAAAGCAAAACCTTTAGCAGAGAGATCTGCTGAATTTTCATGGAAAGAAAAACAAGCCAAGCCACTCACCCTGAGCTACGCCAGACAGCACGAAAACAAGGCTAGAAAGCAGCTCTTAGGAAAGAAATGCACTCGAAGTACATTTTTACATATAATGGAGGTACTCTCAGTTTTAAGGATTGTAGGGAGGAAACAACAAGGAGCGGAAGCCGCAGGGAGGCCCCGCGTCACCGAGAGCAGCGAGGGTCCCGCGCAGTCCCAGGGGCAGCGCTCAGGGCACCCGGGGATCCTGCCCCCGGCCCGGGTCGCAGCCTGAACGCTGCTAGGAGCGGTCCGTGCAAATGGAGTTCTCTTAGCTCGGGAGGGCTAAGAGCAAATCTTGGTAATCTCTGTACTGAAGGATTAGGGCGTTCTGCAAGCGACGTGTTAAGAACCATCTCTGCACTCTTAAGAGCCTTCTGTGTCTGCAGTGGTGACTGACATTAGGTACAGCCAGAGCAAAAAGACTGGGCTCAAGATATGCGTATATGTGTGTGTGCACACATGCATACATACCCGTGTGCACGCGTATGCACATATGAATGAAAATTCTGAGATTTCTTAGCTGTGGGAGTGCCAAGTACACTCAGAAAATAATTTCATTCTATTAATTCAGAATTATTTCTATTTAAAAGTATTCAACACATCTTCTAAACACTGTTGCCTCCTTAATGGTCTGCGATAGTGAATGAGTTGCAAATAACTGGGGAGCTTGGCTACATGTGCTCCCACCTTCCTAACGCCTTGTTCTAACCACATCCATACTCAAAAGCAGCAATCCCCAACCTCCTACAAAGGGTGATCTCTATAGGATTATTACCAGCTTCATTAGGAAAATTGTTAATTGTAGGTGTGAAGAAGAGAATCAGACCAGTATGTCATTAATCGTAGATGGATAAGATAAATAATTCTGAAAAGCCAGCATGTTTATATTCAAGTACAGGCAGGCTCAAAGAGCAACTAATTCAGTTATTGCCTAGGAAACACCTAACAGCCTTCCCTTTCCATACATTTCCAGATAGACACCAAGCACAGATGTGTGCAGAATTGCCACTCCAGTCCCGGGTAATGAAAGTGCTGCCTGACTATGCAGCAGAAAACACTCAGCATAACTAATTGAACCCTCTTGCACAGCCTCAGAGCTCAGCTGTTAAATGGCACTCTGGTGGCCACGGCTCAGAAACCATTTTAAACCAGCTTACAGCATGTTCTAACACATTGCAGTGTGGATTTAATGTGGGCAACGACCGCATGAGCCAGGCTAAATTTAGTCTCAGCCCTGCCACACTAACCAACACCACAGAAGTGACTGGTGCTGGGTGGCGAGGCCATTGCCCCGGAGCCACCAGTCCTGCTCCTCTCGCGAGCCTGGCTTGCGGGATCACAGTGCGAGCGACGCCGGCTCACAAGGAAACTCTCGCTACTACTCTGAAGCTTTAACACTTCAAATAGCAGGAGGAGAAACTGCCTACTTCCTTCCCACCTATTTGAATAGGGGAATTACAATCTGCTTGGTCTTGGCTGTGTGCGTTTTGGTACCGGAGTCTCACATGAGTCTGTAGATCCAGATACGGAGCAGAGGGTCCTTAGCGAGGGCCGGTGGCACCAGCAGCTCTCACCAAGCCCAGCTCCTCCAGCAAGAGCTTCAGGCACCGGCTCGTGAAGGGGCCTCTGGAGGATCTGCTCATCCCTGGGCGGCTCTCAGTGCTTTCACATAGGCCTGGTTTAGGACCGCATGGATGCATTTTAAAGACTTCTAAAATTATTCTTCTATTGCTTTTCCTGAGTCTCGTCTAGTGTTATGGGGCTAAAAGTCAAGGGCAAGGCATTTCGCTCCACATCTGCCCCAGCCAGTCTTCATTTTCATTGGCTTTGCAGCGGATATTTGCTTGAACAGTGCAGGAACAAACACTAGCTGAAGCCACCAAACTATGACTTTTCACTTTATTGTAAGCACACCAAAAATCTTGAAAGAAGGTAGGGCTTCCCTCGCTACAATAAGGTTGTGTGACAAAGTGTTTATGCTGCTACATGTTGGCAGGAGATGTTGGGAGGGCAAAAGACAGCAAAGGAAACACCACTGAAGATCTGAGGTTATTTGCTCGTGATCTCTAATCAGCTGAGGACTGGGAAGATAACCCAGGCTCCCTCCTCAGAGGGCCTCCTACTCCATGGACTACTGTCACCTCCCAATTATGAGACTGAGATGCAATTCAGCAGCTCCTAGAATAAGTCAAGTGATATTTCAAAATTATAACCTGCACTGAATGCTCATCTTTGGGGAAAAAAATAGCTAATGCACTAAGCAAATTCAAGCAGACTTGTAATGTTCATTCATTGTGCTGAGATTACCTCCAGCAACTGCAGAGGAGGCCCATAATAATGAGAACAAGTGGCTTGTGAACAAGGAGCACAAGCCTCCCTGCTGGCTGGCAGGGTTCCATCATGCACTACCCACACTTACACACTCATCATGCCTTGCAGTTTGGCAACCTATTATGAACTAGTGAACCTTGATATAAAATGCACCTATAAAATTAACATAAATGTAAAATATTCCTGAAAACACAACTAGAAATTTTCAGTTTGCTGTAAGCAACTCTAAATAAAGTCTCCCAGATTAATTCCTGCGGAACAATAGTGACATCCAGTGGGTACTTACCTTAATCACAGGGGTCTATTGTCCAATTCATTTAGGTTGTCTCTTTACTTTGCACCTTTCTGCATAACATGATAGCAGCATATATTTCCTTAATGTCTATCTTATTAGAAGTTCAGCTGTACTACGATCCACCTCTGTATCCCAACCTTAACCTAGATGCAGTGAATGAGTGGAGAAAGAGAGCAGATCAATGCTAGCAAGAATGGTGCATCTAGCGCAAAAGGATCTGCTTTTACTAAGGACCATTAATGAGTAAGCAAGGACAAGAGAGGTAGCAACTACGGTGTTACATTAAGATATCCCCAACATAAACTAAGCTTATAAACCAATTCATTCAAATTCCAAACAGGAGATTAAAAAAAGAAAGCGTACTTGGAGTTCAGTTTTACCACCCTGAGAGAAGCATACTATTAGACATCAAAGGGAAGGTCACCAGCCCCTGGGAACCAGTGAAAGCAACATCTTCATCTCCAAAGTGCGTAATGTACGAAAGATACAAAAACAAATTATGTGAGTGCAAATATAAGAGCAATACGGGAAAGATCCAATTCCCAGGCAGTAATCAGACCAATGGGAAACTTATCAAATACATGAATACACCACATATTTGCTTGTGAAGATCAAATAGCTGTCCAAATGTTAATTACTTTAACCTACTTCAGAATCAACTTAATCACTTTTTTACCTTGCAGCAACCTCTGGTATGTATTGCATTAATTACTTCATGCCTCAGAGCTTCTCTATGTCAATGGTTAGGGCAGCAGTTTTAAAACCACAATGAACGAAGCAAGTCGATGAAGTCAGGATTACAGCCAGAGTATAAAATACAGATTTAGTTTCCCTTAACAAGATGCCCAAGAACTCGTTCCACTCCCTATTGAATGAAATAGGGTCATACTTATAATCTTTTTTT